TGGGATATCAAAAAGGAAATTAAAAACTTCATTTAAAACAAAATAATATTACCAGAATTTACCAAAGTTACTAACCTTCTAAAAACCAACAATTTGATAGTAACATTATTACAACCAACTAAAATTACATGGAAAAATGAGTTTTTGAGTTCTCTAGAATTCTTCTCCAGGTTGGATAGTGTCCTATTTCCATGCCTTATTATAACATAGGCCTGTAAAATTGAGGGTCTGTGCTACTCAACCAGAGCACAGTAATATTTTTTGTTTATATATTATCCACTTCATTGTCATCATCACATAAGTGATTATAGGCTCGTGCTGTAGCTGCCCCATATCATAGGAAAGAGAATGTTAGACTAAATTGATCCTTACTATGCTTCGTTAGTCTTCTTTTAAAGAAGGTGGGAGATGTCAGCAAGTGTCTATCAAATATCACATATTGAATTTTGGATGCCTCGTGTTTCATATGCTTATGGCCAACAAAACCTGAAACAATGAATTCTGGATAATATTTGGTGAAATATATTTACCAAAGTAGCTTTGCCTGTATGTGGCAACTTTTAATGTGCCCTCTGCATGCATGCATTAGAGAGATGCACACCTTGTCACATTATATTACCTACACATGCAACTTGTTCTTTACTGTGCTGGCATGGAATCTTTGCTGTTACATCCATGGTGATATGCTAACCCCTACCTTCAAAATTAATTAGCACTTTTCAGCATGTTTCCCAGCATTCTGCTTTCTGCTGAATGGGCTCAACAGCCTCCTCTATACACATTTTGATATAAAGTCTTTCATCCACAAGCCCATCAATAGAGAGAAGAAGGATAAAAGTTGAGAATGCATAAATAGAAATGCATCTGGAAATTACAAAATGGGGTAGAAAAGACAATAATCATCTTCTTTATCAAAAGTGATCACTTTTCCTGCAAAACTGGGAATCAAATTGGCTTACAAATTCAAATGAAATTGAATATATGCACAAAATTACATGCAATCTTCAATATACCATATCTGTCTTATCCATCTGTGCAAAATACACTTTGGACTGGACTACACCAGGAAAACTTGCAAAAATAAGCATGTCTTCAACATGTACTTGAAAACAAAAAATTGTAGGAGCATATCTAATATTGGGGAAGGAATATTCTACATAAATGATTCTCAAAATGGGGGATCCATAGACCATGGCTGGTCTGTAAGCCATTGGCTGATGTTCTGCTATGAGTTTACAAGGAACAGTTCTAGCCAATAGGCACGATTTGCCATTGTGCTTGGATATAGCCATCCATTATAGATTTGAAGTTGTGTTATTTTAGTATTATTATTAACAAGAACAGCTGTATATTATTTTTGAATGTCTGCCATTTGGTGTCTGTCTACAGCTTCCTGTAAATGCTGGCAGTCTGAGATGAATTTTCTGAATGCCTGAAAATAGACGAGGCATATATGTGTTGTCCCTACTCTTATGACATCCGCAAGTGAATGCTGACAATCACATTTAGGGGACTGTCAACATTAGCTTTGGGGTCTCTGCTTTTTAGAGGCCTCGACAGGATTCTGAGATTGTCAGCATTCGCATGTAAACGTCAAGCACTGCCAAATTTCAAACCTTCACTGCAACACAGGCAACTCAGAATCCAAAGAACTCAGAAGGAGTTTATCATGGACTTCGTCTCCTTCGCTTGCTGCACATGCTATTCAGAATCAAACTTCAGATTAGATTAGGTTCTCTGGCTTCCAGTAAATATGAACTAAGCATATGTGTATTCATAGCTGAATATTCATGATACATTTGATTTGCTAATTTGGAAAGCCCTACTCATTTCAGTTTAATGTTATACATCCCCAGTTAACGTGTGAAAATGGAAGAGGGCATTTCCATCCAAGCGCTGTATAGTTGTTGGCTGTGGAAATGAATGAACACATATGTATGCTGTGTGACAAATTGAAAAGCTTATGGAGTAGGAGGACAGCCTGTAAGGTTCTGATGGTTCATGAAGGACATCCCTAACATTGCACATCCCATATGACATGATCTACAATTCTCACTGTGTTATTTTAGTCCATTAGTTCATCAGGGAGGCCATTTTTAGTACAGTCTACTAGGCCTGGGTAACAATGGAAAAATTTGTTTCTAAAATCGATTCGTTTTTTGGGGGTTTTTGCGTTTCGTTATTTAAAATAATTACAAAATTTTCCTTTTAAAAAGTTCGATATTTACGAAATTTCGTAAATGTGAAAAAAATTACAAAACATTAACGAATCGATTTCCGAAACAATAACGAATCGATTCGTTAATGGCGGACGCGACCGCGAAATACGCTAAAAAACCTCCAAAAACTTCTGAAGCTTCCCTCTCCCTCTGTTGTTGACTGTTGGTGTGATATTATAATTTTTTTTCACTAATTAAACAAAAAACAAAAACTTGCCCCAGACATGCGGAAATAATAACGAAACGACCTCAAAACAATAACGAAACGAATACAATAACGAAATACGAAGCATTTACAAAACGTTTTAAAAATTCGTTTTTTAAAAAAATTGCTCCAGAATGGTTCGTTATCGTTTTGTAATTGAAAAAATTAACGAATTATTAACGAATTACGAATTAACGAAACGAAACCGCCCAGCCCTACAGTCTACATACTCTGAAGTTAGGGGCACAATAATGTAACAGATTATTTTATTATTTACTATTAATAGTTCAGTATCAAGACATTAATTCCAATTGTTTAACAATATATTAGTCCTAGTATTAGCATTTCTGAGGTAATCCACTTCAATTGAACTTGAATTGACTGTTGTCTAAAGGCATCAAATTGTTGCCCTTTGTGAAGCTGCCTTGAGTCCCCTTTGGGGTAGAGAAAGGCAGGATATAAATAGAGTAAATAAACAATAAATAATTTTCAGCATTTGCAAGATCTTGTTCATCCACAACTGAAAAAAAAATACTTTGCTCAACCAGATGGATTAATCATGTAGGGTAGGATCTAATATTCGGGTCTTCATATGAAAATAAAGCAATGATGTGCATGTGTAAATGGTATGTTCACATCCATATGTGCTAGGAAACTACCAGAGTTTAGAAAAATCACCTTTTATAAATCTCTCAGCTGAATTCTTGAAGCTGTGGTCCAAAATTGTGACTTTCTAAGTGGTGGAGAGAGTTAGAGCTTTTCTCTATTAAAATTAAATTTGGATGTCATTGGGTTTAATATTGACTTTCAATATTATTATGTTTAGATAAAAAGTAATTTAAAGTTTCTACAAAACTTAGAGCAATAGTTTCTTAGGGTCTTTTTTTTTTAAGTCATAGACAAAGTGCAGCAGTTCTGACTGGAGGTTGGCACTAGCCATGTTGCAGAAAGTGATGTGCAAATTATGTTAATTGTATGCTGCTAATATATGTAAATCAGCTACATTTCTTCAGCACATGATGCATGCGCAATGTGGCCTTTGCTGCTGAGCAAGCTGCTCATCCCCTTGATTTTAATCAAGGCCTTCTGCTGGGTGATGATGCAAATCATGATTACATTAATCTGTCCACTCTGGAAGATGTGTTTAAAGAGACTTATGCATTTGGCTTACCATGGCAAAAATATGTTTAGAGTTGATGCCTTGTATGTGGTGGGAGGGATTGTAGACCTATAAGAGCAGACAGCTTTGCCTATTGTAGCCAAATATCTCAGATTATTATTTTTCTTTATAGGACACATTCATGTCACCTTTTTAGACAAGTACTTACTTCATCAGTTGACAGAATATTCAAGCTAGTTGCATCATCCAAGGGTGCGAAACTAAGAGATTTGTAATATTTGGATCAAATGAAATTGATATAGACAATGATTACATGAACTCAATAGCACTTATTATTTGGGGGTATTTTGTTTTAATTCTTCAGAACCAAAATCATAGTAATACATCATGGGATCCTTTCACACTGCATAGTTATAGCAGCTTGCTTATGGCTTCATCCTAAAACATCCTGGGGCTTGTAGTTTGGAGAAGCATTACTCCACTCTATAAATGGCACATAGCAGGCTTTCCAAAGATTTTGCCATGGGAGCTAAAGTGGAATCAGAATAGCACAATTGTTGGGTCTATGCGCTGTCTGGATATCCAAAAGTCAAGATGTTGGACTCCCGAATTATAACTTGAACAGCATCCTATTGTTAGTCATTTGCTATACTGATGTGCTTTGTGGAGGTGGTTTCTCTTATTCCAGTAAAAACTTAGTGTCATTTAGAGACATTGGTCAAGATCCTATTTATTGACATAGCTATACTGACAGAGGAAGAGTCACTGGTGTGGTTGCAGAAGAGAAGGGGCCATGGGTGTTTGGATAATGGAGGAAGTAGGTTTTATCTCCTATTTCTGGTAGGAGAAAAAAAAAACCCTGATATGTCAACTCCCAAGCTCACTATGATGGGTTTTGCTGCTGTTTCTTGGGCACTGTTACACCCCAGTCCAAAAGGTCCCTTACGCCAGTGTGAGTAATCTTTTATTCAGGTTTAAGACATCAAAAGGATTTCAGTAGGTGTTCTTAATGAATGAATTGTTTCAAAATTGTGTGGGAAACCTATAATAAGAAACAACTACTTTAAGAAGTCTCTCTTGCCTTAATTTTCAGAGGTGTAGCTGGTTGTGTGACACATTAAAGACTATAAATTTATCAGGGCAGCAAGTTTTGTGTACTAGAGTCAATTTCCTAAATCTAACAGAGAACACTAAGTGAAAACTAAGGCCACACTAAACTGAGCAATTTTTAAAGTGACAATATACTCTGATATTTTTGTGTGTGTATCATTTTAGGGACTAATATAGGATTCTTGTTAATTTCAAACACAACAATTATCTTTGGTTCCTGTTCCAGTAGTACAGCTTTGTAATACCTGTTGACAATCAACTAGTTTGTAGCAATTTAACTTTTCAGTGAGGATGTACTTATTACAATCACAGAATGTAACCATCGAATTATTTTCTGTCTTTTTAGGGTCGATGCATGAACTTCACCCGGGTTCAGTCTCAGTAAAGGAAGATCAAGGAGTGAAAAGCCATCACTTTTGTATTGTAACCAAAGGAAGACAATGAAGCACTTATACGAAGGTCCTCAGAACTTCAGCCTTTCAGCATGGACAATCGCTCCATTTGGTTCCTGCACAAGTCAACTAATGCTGCTACACAAAGCTCTTCTGTCCGCCATTTTCTTTTAAGCTTTTAACCTCATACAGCATTCATTACAGTATTATATGATTTGCAATGGTGATGCAAAGACACGTTGGCTTAGCATGACTAGAGTCCCACCAGAAATCAAGCATAGGAATTGCCAGCAATTTGCCAGTGCCTTGGCTTTCATTGTCTTTATTGTAATTGAACTGCATATAACTTGAGCCTTTATGTGCCTCAACCAGGAGCTGCATTGTTTCTTGGATGTGATGATGGCACGTGTTATTTAAGCAGGAAAGTATTTGCCACAGGCAGAAGAGTGAAATTCCCACCAGGCCTGGAAAAATGTAAGAGTTCATTGCCTTACAGCGATGTCATATCACAAAATCCTTCCGAGTCCCATCCGCCCACCGCCCCCATCGGATTGTGCCTTACGGGAACCTTCTGACTGAAGATCTTGTCACTTTAACACTGAGCAATGCACATGCATGACAAAATGTAGACACAGTGCCTCAAGGTATTGGTGGCAAGCAAGGCTTTGCCCTTTCGTTTCCGAAGACACCTTTCTTTCATTATGCACCCAGGACAGGAAGAAAAATTAATAGAGCGTTATTCTACAGGAAGACAGCCTGTAACCAAAGATCTTGCATGGAGATTGAAGGACCAATGCTTCAAGGCCTTGGCACTGTGGCTGATATTTTTCTCTCCCTCCCCTCTGTGCTCGGCACTCGGTAGTATATATAAAAAAATTATGCCTTCTAGACATGAATTTTAGGCTTGTGCATTGTTACAATACTACGATGTGGTGGGAAGAGGCAGTTGCCACAAAGCAGGTATCTCAGGGTGCATCTCCCCCCACCCTCCAAATCTCCAAGGGCTCTTCAGCGTCACAAGCCAGCAACTCTCTTTGCATGAGAATTTCAAAGTTTAATTAATATAATTAAAGGCAACAGCAAGCAGCAGCCTGTGAAGGTTTTGCTCATCTTTTTTTTATGCCTTTTGACATTGAATGACCTATTACTGTATGCACATTACTCCGTTTTTGAGGGGGTACCATGCCTTGGTGGAGAATGAACATTGGGGCCAAAATTAATTTAAAAAAGAGATAGGAGAGGAGGAGGATGAAGGAAGGAGGGAGATAAATCAGGAGACCTCTTTTTCTCCATTTCTAAATTAAATATACAGGAGTGCGGGCCATCAAAAAACATTGACAAAGTATGTATTATAATTTTTTTAGAAAAACCAGCGTTGTGTCACGTCGGCGGTGCCAAATTATGTTAGCGTGAGTGGAAACACTGTGGGGGAGGAAGGAGGCAGCAGCTGAAGAAAAAGGCTCAAATGATCCAGTCACTTTCGATACTGTACTTCAGATGCAAAATGGATATTCGAGTCGAAACCTGACAAAGTGCGCCTACTTTGATGGGAACCGGTATAGACAATGACCAGTGGCTGGGTCAGTGGGATGTCTCTCTGCGAGCAAGGAAGCTTATCAAATGACACTAAAAATAAGTTCAACAACCATCACGTTGGAGGGGAAAAGGCGAACATTTCACGTTTGGTGGGCATGTATGTGCGCAAGACGGGAAAGAGCGAGGGGGATGCGTGCCGGTCTAATTATCCCCCTTTGTTGCTTCTCATTGAAATCTCTAGGGACGCAAAATAATTTTTCTTGGTTGATGGCCAAATTTACAGTTCTTCCCAAACCAAGATGTCCACCACAATGCCTCTCATGTGTATCTTATTGGCTCAAGATTATTTGAGCAATCCGTAGCATTGCCAACCCCCCATTTTGTGCTCACATGGATTAAATCATGTACCTAAGGTTGTACTACAGCTCATTTCTCTTTCATGTAAACCCTGTTTTGTATCGTTGGGTGCATGCTTTGACTGGGGTTGCCTCCATCTCCAGCTGCTGGCTTCAGCCAATAGACTCACCTTCTGCTGTCATCACATGAGTTCTGAGAAGGGATGTCACAGGCTAACTCAGGGGATGCACGCTTGTCCAATTATTTAAATTTGTCTGATGCTACGGCATGTGTAGAATGTGGTGTTAGCAATACACATAAAACAGGAAAAGGTGCCTTTACAATCATTTTCTGCAACCTCTAGGAAACACTTTTTTAGCTTTAAGATGAGATCTTCAGACCTTCCAGGCAGGATAGGAATGTGATAAGGTTGTTACAAGATACTAATATGTACATTTTCTTTACAAGCAAATGTTTCAGTTACTGGAAACAAATGGTTATGTCTTTGTAAAATGATTTTTTCACTGCCTACAGTAACAAGCAAATCATGTGCTCCTTCTCATTTGCTACTCTGAATTTGTCTGGAGAAATGGTGCTAAGGATTTGAGTGAAGATATCCAATCGTCCTTTACGGATTCGAAATAAATTCACATTCTATATCTGAATGTTTGTTGCATTTGAACCTAAGTATTTAGAAAAGCAAATAATTTAAACAAATATTCAGAAAAACAAAAAAATCAAATTAAATCTACTTGTTAAACAGCACATTTAAGGATATTCCTTCCTTACCTTTTTAAAAAAAGCTGCAATAAAACCACTGTATTGAAAATAATTCAGACAGGAATATTTAAATCGAAAACATTGGCAATATATTTATATCTTTGAGAAGGACCATGTTTAAAGTGATCCATTTTGTGAATTTCTTTTTCCCAGAAATGAAACATTCCCATTTGGTTATTTATCACAATCATCCTTTATGCAAAACAATACCAAATGTTTCTCAGGGTTTGCCATTGCATTGACTTCGTAATTTTATGAAACCCTTATTTGTTATTCATTTGAAACATAACTCATGTGGTAAATAATTGCTCAAATACATACATTTGAATGCAGAACGCGGCACAGTATTATTTAAGATCTCTTTGAAAAAGCCCCTGGTAAAATAGCAGCACAACAGCGTTTAACAATTTCATGTCCACTGAGCTTCCAATGTAAGTGAACCAAAGCAGTATTAATTTAATAGAGTCTATTAAATGTAATAAATTTATATGTTTATAACATCGTGAGTCATTTGTATTATTCTTTGGATTTATTTTCATAAAATACACACTGGGATTATAGCTTTAATTCTGGAGTAACAATGACTTCAGTTCAATAACACTAGACATTCATATGGGAATGACAATTTTGAAGAAATAAACATGTGTGAGTCTTTCAACACATTTCGAAAGTACAGTGGGACAATAGGACTTTTTAAAATGGCATATTTAAGGGTTTTATCCTTTGCTAGGATGGGTTTTTATTTGTTATATTTTTATACATACTATACACCTGTACAATGATTCCTTCCTTCCTTCCTTTTGTTAAAAGCATGTCAACTACAAAAGCTTTGTGATTGTCTCTATCCAGATATTCCAAAACTCATTTAACGAATATTCCTGTATGTAAAATGAACCAGCTTTATGCACCGACTTTATGCAGTATCTATTATTATTATTATTATTATTATTATTATTATTATTATTATTATTGATTGGCCCTTATTATTATTATTATTATTATTATTATTATTATTATTATTATTAACTTTATTTGTACCCTTCTAGCATTTCCCGAAGGACTCGATGCGGCTTACAAAGGCCAAGGCCTCAATACACAACATAACAATACAAAACCTAAAGCAAATTAAAAACAATTAAAGCAATATTAGACAACAAAGCAACAACAATAAACAATACCCCAAAACACAATAAAACTGGGCCTTAGGCCATATCACAATACCAAACCAAACAACAAGGCTAGATAAGACTTGATTGCACACTATGTAGTAAGTTAAAATAAGACATTTATAACAATAAATAAATATGATAAGATAGGCTAGAACTGAGGATACACATCATATTTCCTTATCATCCCTACAATTTACCCTGATCAGCCCCACATATGTGGTTCTCAAACATATTGTTTTGCTTAAATACAGAGCTGTTTTATGTGTTATTTTTGGGTCTTGGCCACACATAAAATATGTTGTTCTGATGTGAGATTCCCAATACTATCTTTTATAATGAAACGTAAGAACATGGTAGTCTCATCCTACCTATGTAAACATAATGGTCACAAAGGAGCTGAATATTTCTCTTGCTTAAATTTTGCTGGAATCAATAAAATACCACTTTGTAACATGCATACATGCAAACACGAATCAGTGTTCTGCCAGTATCTGCCACATAGCACCAATTATTCTTAAAGGAAATGACCTTAAACACATTCCTTATCCTTAAACACATTTTTACTTCTCCATTTCATTGTAGCATACAGACATGAAATATAATAACAAAAACTTATCAAAGCATTGCAAGTACTGCATTGTCTCTTGCATTAATATACTCCAGGCCTCAGGAAATCCAACTGATATTATAAGATCAGCACATTGTAATATTTTTCTTGCTAGATGTAACCTACAATGTATACACTGAGCATTATAATTGTGGAAGGGGGCATTAAGCTTCAGTGCTTTATGATTTGATCTTAGTGACCTATTGGTTGCAAAACCTTTTGCAAAAAATATATAGAGAGAGATCTCTGTGAATATCCTATAAAGAACACAAAATTTGCAATGAAATCTCTTTTTTAAATATGAGCACTATTGATATTCTGCACAATAGATTGACTGTTTTAACTAAGCAGGAGAAAGTATGCTTTAGGTATAGATTGGGTTTAATTTCTTTGGTTAAACCCATAAAATAACATTATGGGTAGTTATTCCATAAAGTTATTCTCTGTTTAGTGAACTTGTTGGTTGGGTTGTTGTGTGTTTTCCGGGCTGTATGGAACATGGTCTTACAGCCCGGAAAACACACAACAACCCAGTGATTCTGCCCATGAAAGCCTTTGACAATACAACTTACTGTTTTTTGTTTTGTTTTTTTTATCAGAATATGAACAATGAGTACCATCCTAACAACATGAAATGTTGTGGAAGATGTTTTTATTTCAATGGATCATGTGTTTGACTCCCTAATCCAATCTGCATAGTTGGATCCAGAGTTATAAACACCTGCAGTAAACCAATTGAAAGCATTGGGACTTCAGTCAATTGTGACTCGCTTACATTTCATTAGCAGAGCTAAAAGTGCTGTAATTCATTAATCATTTTTGAAAAAGCTCTGACAGCCCAAACCTTTAGTATTGTGTTGGAAAGGGTGGGTTGCATTCCTTAGAAGTCACATCAGAATTAGATGTCTCCTCCTTCACAAAGTAGAAAGAGGAAGGGAGTGCCAGAAGTGTTCAACAACAGTAGTTGTTCATTATTGTTAATTAACAAATTAGCAATTGTTAATTAAAAATTAATAAAGTTGTTAATTACAAGCACATTTTAATAAGGTAAATAGGGATTGTAAGGATGGCTTTGTAGCACAGCAATAACTAGCAATGACAATGTTGGCAGAACAAAAACCCATTTCAAAAATCTCAGCTGCATCCTATTTATATGCGTTTACTCATTGTGATAATATCATAGTCAAATTGGTTGGTGAATTTCATCTCAGATTAAAGAAGTCATGATTTTGTAAGTATTATGTTATACCTTGTGTTTAAATTAACTAGAAATGGTTGAGTTTTCCCAACATTTTTCTCATAACTGTAAACAAAGGAGACACTTCATACTGGCTATTAAAGCTAAAGGCATATGAGTATTATTTGATAAATTGAAGCTTGTTATTGGCAAACCTTAGCTCTATGTGTTTGCTTGATGATGTAAAAAGGTTAGGAAAAGTACAAAACTGTGCTCTTTGGTCTTGTCATCTAGGTATTGGCCCTGAAATCATACACAAACTGGCAGATAAATGTGCTCTAACTTGGTTGTGTCTACTACATGATCAAGATCCTGAATTGTAAAAGGAAACTACTATGTCAGAAGCCAGGCATTATTTCTTGGAAAACATTTTTCTTAATTTGTTCAAATTTTAATTATATTATTGTATTGGAATTTCTTATTTTAATTGCTACATGCACTGACAAGGGATTCAACTTGTTGGCCTTAGAGTCCCTTCCAACTCTGCGATTCTATGACAACTGCATTGTGGCTTTCAAAAATTATTCATGTTACTTTATTTTTTACTGGTCATTTTAGTAATATATATTTTTTAACAAAATATACAGTAATGAAGTTTACAGTAATGAAACAGATTAACTGTTATCCACAATTAACATATTGATTTAAAGTGCAAGAACATATCCCCTACAGATATAGTGGTCATGCTATTTTGAAGTACCCTCTATATTATCTGCCACTCTTTCCATCTATTTCTGTAATACAATTCAATATGAGTAGTATGGTAATAGTTAGCATAATTGTGTCTCATTAAACAGAAGAGAAATGGCAAACTATTAAAGATGTAGCCTACAAACTTTAGGAGGATATGGCATGTTTACTGAAACAAAGCCAAATAATCATATACGTTTTCTACAGGCTTTAGTAATTTACCATGCAGAGTAGACCCAGCAGCTCCAGAGGTTAAACTATTTCTATAGATGCATCAACAGGTTTAAATGTGTCTCCAAATAGAGTGGTGGTTCCTAACCTGTGGTCCGTGGACCATCAGTGGTCCACAAGAACTAAAATATGGTTTGTGGCCTCACCATTACTACACCATTTGAATGAGAGCAATTGGTTTTGCAAAGCCCTCTTATAGTGCCAAGGCTTATTAAATATGGTTTTCTGTGGGTGAGCAGATGGTGACTAGTGGATGGCACATGTTCTGTATCAGTAACTAGAGCTGATGTGGTCTATCCAATGCAATTTTCTGAATCAGCACCCCAAATAACCAAACCGAATCTAAAGTTGACCAAAAACTTATTTGTAACCCTTTTGGTACTAATGTTGGAGAGTGGTCCCTGGTCAAAGTGGTCCCTGGTAAAAAAAGAGTAGGGAACCACTTAGTAACAAAAAAGTATTTTGTTTCAAACAAAAGCCCAATAGAAACAAATGGCTGACTTCGAGCAAACGTTTTACTCCATTCTGCGGAATTGACATAGATGATCTCAGTGCTTATATTTTCTGTGGATTCAGTTAATTCAAAACAATTACAAATGTTTACTGAAGAGAAATTGTGGTTAATGGTGCCACAAACAACAGACTTGTCACAAATGAGAATGCAATCACCAAATTTAAATGACTAAGGAATTCTATATATATTGAGAAGTAAGTTAGTGCTATGAAAACAATTATATTTGATAGTATCCAGATAGGCTTTCCAGTACATTACTGCTTTAAATGCATGCCACATGTTTTAATTGTTTTTAATCACCATTTTAATATTTGTTATTTAATTATTTTTCCCCTTTTTAATTAATCTTTTAGCTGGATCTTTTAAAAATCATTATAAACTGTTGCAAATCCCATTTTGGGAGAAAGGTGAAATATAAATTCAATATTTTTTTTTAAAAAAAAATAGAGTTTTGAGTGTGTCTGCATGTACTCTGTACATATTGAAAACACCACTCTTATATTTTAAAAAATCATATCTTTACAAATTGTGTGATGTGGGTACACAAAATCTGTCTTTCTTAAGATTCTTTTTTTTGTGTGTGTCAGGAACAACTTGAGAAAATGCAAGTCATTTCCAGTGTGAGAGAATTGGCTGTCTGCAAAGACGTTGGCCAGGGGACACCCAGATATTTGATGTTTTACCATCCTTGTGGGAGGATTCCCTCATATCCCTGCATGGGGTGCTGGAGCTAACAAAGGGAGCTCAACCCGCTCTTTCCAAATTCAAACTGGTGACCTGTTGGTCAGCAGTCCTGCCGGCACAAGGGTTTAACCCAGGGATCCTCAAACTTTTTAAATAGAGGGCCAGGTCACAGTCCCTCAAACTGTTGGAGCCAGATTATTATTATTATGAGTCCCCTTCGGGGTGAGAAAAGTGCTATACAAATGTTGTAAATAAATAAATATTATTATTATTATTATTATTATTATTATTAATAATAATAATAATAATAATAATAATAATAATAACTATTAATATTATCTGCAGCATGGGCCAGCCAGATTATAA